TGCCAAGTCCTTTTGTAACTGGTACCTTTATCCTCTGCCACCACAGCGGTTGCAGTGTTTCTCATAGCTAAATATACAAATATTGTATTTTTTTGTTAATTTTTCATGTAAAATATTTTTCAATAAAAATTTGTTAAACCGCTCCTGAATTTTGAAAAGTAAGAATGTCAGTTTGAGTACATTCTCTTATCGGATCTCTCTTTCTCTTTTGAATATATCGACACTCTAATGTTGGGGAAAGTATTTTGAATTTACTAGCAATATAGAAGTATTACATATATCTGTGTTCATATGGAATAGTAGCTTATGTCGAAACTCTGGCTTTAGTATAATGCGGCATTCGCAGCATACGATTGCGAATGACTCACTGGCGCCGAGCTGTTGAAGAACTTTTGGCAAAAAAACGTGCAAGAAATAGTTCCGATACTAGCAGGTCAATATTCTTATTAAGTCTCGTCAAAACATTCCTTGTCGTTTAAAGGATAAAGGGAATGCCGCATTATACAAAAGCCAGCTTCTCGACATAAGCTACTATTCCATACGAACACAGATATGTATGAAAGTAATGAAAAAATGGGAAAAGCAAAATACATATACAAAAATGTTGAAATTTGATATCCGAAGATTCATTGAGTGGCTGATAACAAAACTGAAATCAGTTTTCAAAAATTAAAAATGTCTGATCCAATATGGCGGATGGATCTTTTNTAAAAATGTTGAAATTTGATATCCGAAGATTCATTGAGTGGCTGATAACAAAACTGAAATTAGTTTTCAAAAATTAAAAATGTCTGATCCAATATGGCGGATGGATCTTTTGAATTTCTGGTAAATGATTTCAGTTTTGTAATTAGCCACTCAATGAACCTTTGGATGTCAAATTTCATACAAATTCAATAATTAAAAAAAAAAATCCATCCGCCTATTGAATTTTGTCGGCTAGAGAAGTGAAGTGTTTGACATTCAAATGTTAAAAGCTTATATTTTTCGAATCTGCTAAAGAAAACTAAACTCGAAGGGTAGTCAAAATACTTATTGCAAAGAAGTACATTTTACTGTACGGCGAAGTACGAAGTACAACGAAGTACTGTATTTTCGCAAGAAGTACGGTTGGTCACATTATGTATGAGTATGTACTAGAATAGCCAAGTACATGGCGTATGAGTAACATTATTTCCTGCTCATATTTTATCCCAAACAAATCATTATACTTTTTTCTTTGACTAGCCACAACTTTTTTATTTATCCGTAGATTTTCTTCGTTAGAAGTTTGATTTTTTTACGCACACAAGTGAAAAAAGTTACGCAATTTTTTTAATTTTACCCGGTTAAAATTAAAATCAAGGAATGAAACCGAAACCCAAACCGAAACCGTAACCGTTTAAAACAGTTAAACCGTTAAAACCGTGTGGGCACGAAATGTGGGTTTTTGCGTTTCCGTACTTCTGAACTTTGTTCCATTTTTGAAAGAAAATGTGTCTCTTATTCTCTAATTACCAAATCCGGTCCGGATTGTTAGGGAAAGAACCTAGTGTTGATATTATCAGTGAACTGTAATTTTCGATTTTCTTTCCTCAACGTTTAAGACATTGTGATTTAAATAATATCAACACAATTTCTGTGAAAAACCGAAACCGGAACGAAACCGAAACCAAAACCGAAACCGAAACACTTGGCAAAACCGAAACCCAAACCGGAACGTTATTTGAATCGGTTTCATTCCTTGATTAAAATTGTTTTCATGAAAATGAAAATGTCTTGGGAAAATTAATTGATATAGAAAGACAGAATACAGATTCGTTATATACGAATCATAGTTAAGTTTACGTGTTGCGGCGTTTTTTTTTTTGCGTCATTTCAGAACTTGAGATTTCCCCTACAGTGTAATAAGTACATAAGTATCCATAGTGTCAGACAAATTAATAGCGTTGCCACATTTTGAAAAGTTTTTGCTATTTTTCTTTTCTTTCTTTAATGTTTAAAAATTTTATATAAAACTATAAANAATCGGTTTCATTCCTTGATTAAAATTGTTTTCATGAAAATGAAAATGTCTTGGGAAAATTAATTGATATAGAAAGACAGAATACAGATTCGTTATATACGAATCAAAGTTAAGTTTACGCGTTGCGGCGTTTTTTTTTTTTTGCGTTATTTCAGAACTTGAGATTTTCCCTACAGTGTAATAAGTACATAAGTATCCATAGTGTCAGACAAATTAATAGCTATTTTTCTTTTCTTTCTTTAATGTTTAAAAATTTTATATAAAACTATAAAAACTATGCAAAAGTTAATCTAGATATATTTCGAACTTTTTATTTAGAATCTCTGCTATGCAGGTATACAACTACGGTGACCATCCGTCCTGTATTATACGGGACAGTCCTCTCTTTTCTTCCTTTATCCTGATAATTTATTTATTTCATACGGGACGCCAAATGTTCTGTGTTTCATTTAGTGTCCCGTATTCCGTGTTTTGGCGCCTTAGCAGCTCATAAAAATGACATGCCTATGAACCAGTATCAATGGTTGAGTGGAAGATCGACCTATCTCGGCAGCCAGTTCGAAAACGCCCTATCTCAGAAAACATTTCAAGGTACAAGGTACAAAGCTATGGAAAAATATTCAGCGAATGTGTGATGTTACAACTGAATATTTATGTNTACAAGGTACATTGGAAAAATATTCAGCGAATGTGTGATGTTACAACTGAATATTTATGTGCTGCATTCACCAAATATCGAAAAAAATATATGCCAAATGAAATGCTGTTTCAAGGCTTTTGTGAAAAAAATTAGCAAAATAATTTTTTGTACCGTATTTTATTTATTAAATCTCCAATATAGAAAACATCCGAAAAGATAGTTTATTTGTAAGTTAATGCTTATATTAAAGGTCAACCTAAGTTACGTTAGCCCATATGCCCGCATGTGCATACGCACAAATTCTTTTGCGACGAAAGCCAAATGACATACATAAATATATACATACAAAGGTCTCAATAAAGAAGGCTTATCTAAAAATAGGTTTTCATGTTTATGTATGTATTTGTGTTACATGTCTCGTAACAATTTATTTTTATATTTTTAGAATATGCAAATCATCGGCATTCATTCCTCTTCATCCTTTTTAAGTATATAAGTTACTCTTTCAAAAATCTTCGTCAGCAACAAATGTCATTTCGTCGATAAGATGTCAATTTGACATTTGCTGCCTCATTTAACCGTTACAATTGCTATGCTATTCTTAACATTATTGCAAATTCATGCCGTTCCGTTTGTAACCCACAATCGTTGCGGCTAACATTGCTGACGTTGACAAGCGCGCACTCCTTTCTGTCCAAACTCTACGCCATTTTTAACCGACTTCCAAAAAAGGAGGAGGTTATCAGTTCGTCGGAATCTTTTTTTTTTTTATGTATGTTACCGCATAACTTTGGACCACGTCAACCGATTTCGATAATTCTTTTTGCATCGGAAAGGTAGTGTCTCAGAGGTGGTCCCATACTAATCTGGTTAAGATCCGATCAGCGGATCATGAGATATATATATATATATTTTTTTTTTTATATGGGAGTTGAAGTCGGTTTTTTTGTTTGCTAAAAATTACTAGTTCTTACTTAGCTTTCATCCAAAGAAAAGTGACAAATGCCTTTGCCTTTGATACATGACGCATATTTGCAAGATGCACTCGTACATGCAAACATACATACATATGGACTTGTATGTCTAAATGTGTGTATTTATGGACATATGTGTGTGTACACGACAGCTTGTAGCTTCCTTTAGTATCTTATTTTTTTGTTATTTCTAGTTCGATGTCTTTCTATTGAGTTCTCGTAGGTGTTAACAGTTAGCTTATCTTGTTATTGTTTGTTGCAACATTTATTTGGTTGGTGTAGGTGTGTGAAAACATTTTGATTTGTTGCCAGTTTGCCAGCTGTCAGGTATAATATTTATGGCTGTCATCACAAGTACAACCTCGCCCACCTCGCACTTCACACAGCCTTCGATATTCATTTATCAAAATTTCTGTTTTTGTGTTATGATATGCGTTATTTATGTATTTTTGACTGTGGCACACCTATGTGCCAATTCACCCAAATTTTTACTAGGAGCACGAAATACTCAAATAAATTAAATAAAACAAGGCAAACTCTTTCTATTTAGTGCTTGTTAACCATTCTCTTGGCAATACAATAGTATGGCTGACAATTTCTCTGTTAACCATTTTTTTTAACTGTTCGATACTCAGACAAATTACCCAATCCTGAAGCATTGTCCAGCCAATGCTGAAAGCACTTAACCTCTTCGGGAATATGCAAAAAAAAACACGAAGAAAACAAAATGTTGAAATATAAATAAAAAAAAAACAATCCATGTCTAAAACAAGCTTTTTTAATATGAACCAAATCGTACCACGAATACGGCTTTCCAAAATATCACGACTCCTGCGCCACCTATCGACAAAATTTTGCAATGGCATGGCCTAAATCTGCACATATGTGTCGAGGGTGACTGCGCGTGCAAAGCTGTGAACCGTGGGCTAGGCAAGCGCGGAAAGAAAAAGTTATCGGAATGGGGAAAACGAAGTCAGCAGAATAGTGAGATTGTATGTATGATAATAACTCATATGAGGGATTTGGGTATTGGGAATTTCGCAAGCCTATTAGGAAGTATACATACATATCTGTGTCTGTATAGAATAGTAGCTTATGTCGAAAGTCTGGCTTTAATATAATTACATATAATAATTGAATAATTGCGAATGGCGAATTGCGAACTGGCGCCGAGCCGTTGAAGAACTGTTGGCAAATAAACGTGAAAGAAGCAATTCCGATGCTATAGGGTCAATATTCTTATTAAGTCTCAATAAAAAATTGCTTGTGGCTTAAAGAATATAATAGATTAATTTATTTTTCTTATTGCATTGTCATCGGATTCAGAGCTAAAAGCAGGTTCACATTATCGTCATTTACGGCTCGAACTTGTATTTGTATTCGTACATTTCGAATTGTGCTTTAGTTTAAAAATCGGTCCAGTATGTCAGCCAGTAATATAAAGATATGTATCTAAATTTAGTGATTTATGTAGATACGTTAAACTAGCAAATTCATTGCGTTTACCTCTCTATGGGTTTGTTTCAAGAAACTGCCGTGTGATTCAATAAGACCACAGGTTTTCTTTTATAAATAAAACAACAAAATATGTCGACATGATTTTTTTTATATCATCGGTTTTATTTTGGCCAACGGCATTTATATATGAAATACAATTAATTCCGCACCACGACTCTTCTGGCAATAAAGCATGCGGATATCAAAATTTTCCATAAATTTTTGGCATAGTTCGAGTTGTTGTATGTACATATATCATTTATATTGAGTATAATTTCTTCCTTCAGCTCTGGAATCATCTTGGGCTCATTGGCATTGATATGCTTCGCAATGAAAAAAATCGGAATGACTAAATTTTTATACCCGAGCGCACTTGTGCACAAGGGTATATTAATTTTGTTCACATAACGGTTGTTTGTAACAGCCAAAACGAATCAAGCTAGATAAAGACAAATGTATACATAAATGCTCAGAATGAATAGAGAAATCGATTAAGCCATGTCTGTCTGTCCGTCCGTCTGTCCGTCTGTCAGTGCGTCCGTGTACACGATAACTCGAGCAAAAATTGAGATATCTCGACGAAATTTGGTATGTAGGTTTCCGTTAATCCAAGGTAGGTTGGTATTGAAAATGGGCGAAATCGGACTTTAACCACGCCCACTTCCCATATAACGGTAATTTCCAGAAATACGAAAACTGCGATATTTTAGTAACTACTGAAGATTAATCACTCAAAATTGAGATTTACAAAACTTTTTAGGCGAAAACTAAGAGTATTATAAATTTTTGGAGAATGGGCGTAGCCACGCCCACTTATGGTTACATGTGTATATCTTGGTAACCGCTGCACAAATTTCTCCAAAACTTGGCACAATTGTTGGCCTTGGTACAGCATACTAAATGGCCGAAAATTTACAAAATCGGACAATAACCACGCCCACATCCCATATAACGGTCATTTAGAGAAATACAAAATCTTCGATAAATCAGTAAATATTAAAGCTAATTTATTCCAAATTGATGCTTGCAACAATTCTTTACCAAGAAATACGTTTATGGTAAAATTTTGAAAAAAAGGCGTGGCACCGCCCACTTATGATCACATATATGTATATCAGTAACCATTATACCAATTTGTACCAAACTCGGTATGGTTATTGTGCTTGCCACATAAAAGCAAAACGTTGAAAATTATTGAAATCGGACTAAAATTACGGCCTGCTTTTCATATAACGGTAAATTTCAGAAATGCTTGAAACTGCAATATTTCGAAATTGAAGGACGCTAATTTACTCAAAATTGATACACCTCGGCTTACCATCTAGCGGAAGGTTTCGGAAAGGTGAAAAAACATATATTTAATACTTGCGCCGGGTATATTATGTTCGGCTCCACCCGAACTTAGACTTTCTTACTTGTTTAAACTATAATTTTATTATTTGTCTAAAGGAGCGCCATTGATATGTCGCACGTTTAATAATATAAAGATGTAATTCAAAACTTACGTTTTTAGATATTTCATAATACAATTAATGAGATTAACAAGGAGGAGAATATGTTCAGCCTAACAGATGAATAAACTTCCCAAAAATGGCGAAGATATGTGTATTTGCATCTGCCTGTTGGTATACCAACTGTATGAATTGATCAAACTTTGATTGCTTTTTCTCACAAAATTGAAATTTGGAAATAATTTTGTATATTATAAAACGTGCTATATACTGAAAAGTCTTTTAAGACAGCCTAATTTTCACTACAGGGTATAAGCCGAAGCGTTCCACATTGCCGGGCATTCATCTTTATCTGGGCCATTTGATGCTATGTTGTATATAATGTACATACATATGCATGTATTCGCATATTATTGTAGTATAAATTAAAACATGCATGCATGCTAAGTAGGGATGACGTTTAAAATTTCAAAATAATGCTATTAATTAAGTATACAATGTGTAAAATAAAAGGTATACCCAAGACTGCAATCTCCCCACCACTGATTGATATAGGCTAGAAAATAGACATGTTTGTACATGCTCAGAACTCTTCCAGGTGATCTTCAAACAATTGCAGGCCGATTTTCTATTGTATCAGACATTAATACGCACATAATTACATACATCGTGTCTGAACTTTTTTTTCAACAACTTCCATTTTCGAAATGTCTTCCCCTAAATCGCCCAAATTACGCACTGTGCGCCGAATATTTAACTTTTTCAAACATCTGCTATTTCTTTAACTATTGTGCAATTTGTTGTCATTATGTGAATTTGTCTATAAATTCGCGTAGCGTTTGGCAGCTGTGGCACACTTTAAATAACGACGCGCACTTTTTGTTAGAAATGTTATCAATACTTTCGTGTACATACATACATATAGTATGTATGTATGTATATTATTCGGGGGTGGTGGTTTCTTCCTAGTAGATATGTATGTAGCTGCAAAATTTCGCTGTTTAGAATTATTCATGTATTTTTCTTTAA